ACAGCCGTGAGTCCAGGAGGACACCCAAGTTGTGAACCCTCTCCGTGGGGGCCAATGACTCGCCCCCCAATAGTCAGTGATGGCACCAACTGACTATATCGGGATGTCGGAAACCACAGCCACTCGGTATTGGATGGGTTGAGCCTGAGTCTGTTTCTCCCCATCCAGATCCGCACGGCCTCCAGGCACCGGGACATCACTTCAAGGGCATCATTGGGGTGGTCTGGGGTGGAGATGTACAGCTGAGTATCATCAGTGTACTGATGGTACTTCACCCCGAAATGACGGATGATCTGACCCAGCGGCTTCACATAAATGTTGAACAGAAGGGGTGAGAGGACCGACCCTTGTGGCACTCCACATACAAGGGGCCTCGGGGTTGACCTCTGCCCCCCCCTGTCAACACAGACTGCGACCGGTCAGAGAGAAAGGAGGAGAACCACCGTAGGATGGTGCCCTCCACCCCTAACTCCTCTAGCCGGTGCAGCATGATACCATGGTCGATGGTATCAAAAGCCGCTGAGAGGTCTAATAGGACCAGGACAGAGGAACAACCCCTGTCCCGAGCCCTCCAGAGATCATCAACCAATGCGACCAATGCCGTTTCCGTGCTGTACCCGGGCCTGAAGCCCGACTGGAATGGATCCAGATATGATGATTCATCCAGGTACTGGGGGAGCTGCCGCGCTACCACACTCTCAACAACCTTCACAATGAAGCGAAGGTTGGAGACTGGACGATAATTTACCAACACTGCCAGGTCCAGGGAAGGCTTCTTGAGGAGAGGCCTCACCCCCGCCTCTTTCAAGGCGGCAGGGAAGACACCCTCACTCAGGGAAGCATTTATAATCCCCTGGAGCCAGCCTCGTGTAACCTCCCGAGAGGCCAGCACCAACCAGGAGGGACACGGGTCCAGTAAACATGTGGCTGCGCTCAGTCTGCCCAGTATCCTGTCCACGTCTTCGGGCGTCACAGAATCAAACTCTTCCCAGATAATACTCACAAAACCTGCCTCTGTCCTCCCCGCTGAATCTACCCAGTCAGAGTCCAGGTGTTCCCGAATCTGAGTGATTTTGTCATACAGATACTGTACAAAATCCTCGGCTCTGCCCTCCAAGGGGTCCTCCCGTGCTTCCTGGTGGAGCAGGGAGCGGGTCACCCTAAACAGGGCGGCAGGGCGATTATCTGATGATGCAATAAGAGTGGCAAAATAGTTATACTTCGCCACTTTTATCGCCACCAGGTAGGTCTTAATATGAGACCTTACCAGTGTTCGGTCAGATTCAGAATGGCTGGCCCTCCAACCACTCTCCAGGCGTCTTTTCCAGTGCTTCATCTCCCTCAGCTCCTTGGTGAACCAAGGAGCCAGGCGAGATCGATGCCGGGTCAGAGGCCGCAAAGGCATGACCCGATCCAAAGCTCCAGTGGCCGCCCTATCCCAGGCGGCCACCAGCTCCTTAGTCGAGCCGTGTGCCAGAGCCTCAGGAAATGGCCCAAGCTCTGTCTGGAACCTATCAGGATCCATCAGGCGCCTGGGGCAGTACCACCTCAATGGTTCCGCCTCCCTGCGGTGGGGTGCGGCGGTTCGAAGGTCAAAGCGAAGGAGGGAGTGATCTGACCATGACAAGGGCTCGATCACTATATCCCCTATCTCAAGATCACTCAACCACTGACCAGAGACAAAAACCAGGTCTAGCGTGTTTTCCCCCGTGTGAGTAGGGCCATGAACTAACTGGGTCAGGTCCATGGCCGTCATGGAAGCCATGAACTCCCGAGCCACTTCAGATACCTCACCAATGGATGGCAGGTTAAAATCCCCCATGACCATAAGCCTGGGGGTGTCAACCGCCACCGTGGCTATAACGTTGAGCAGCTCAGGCAGGGCTGCCGTCACATGGCAGGGAGCCAGGTACGTAACCAGCACGCCCATCTGCACTTCATGACCCCACTTCACAAGGAGGGACTCACAACCAGCCGTCTGAGGAACAGTGGCCTCCCTCGGACCAAGACCTTCTCTAATGACAACCACCACCACCCCGCCCCTCCCCTCCTCGGCTGATGGAATGTGCGGAAACCAGGTGGGCACATCTCAACGAGGGGGAACCCCCCTCCTGGCTCAACCAGGTCTCTGTAATACCCGCCAGGTCCGCTCCCCCCTCCTGAACAAGATCACAAATGAGGGGGGGCTTTAGTTACCACGGACCGGGCGTTGCACAGCATCAGCCGAAGGCCCAGGGCCTGAGGGTCTGTGCAACCTGGGGAACGAGGGGAGCATTGGAGGCCGGAGCGCGCCACCGCTTGGAGCCAGCGGGCGCGCGCTCCCACAACCTGATGTTGCCCCCTGCTCCCGCCATATCTGCCCCTCCCACCCACAGTACTGATGTAATGTCCATCCACAACACAAGCTCTAACCCCCTCCTTGACCCCGGTTCCCGCACCTCTAGTGCCGTGCTCTTCAGCCGGATCTGGCCTCCTCCCCGACAGGTTTTCCCCCAAACCCACCGAACCCACCCCCTCCCAGAAACCTTTAAAACCTTATCTAAAAATTTCCCCAAAAAACCCCACACCCCCCTCCTCGCCGCGTGCCACCTCTCGGGATTCCAAAATCCATCATCAAGGTAGGCCCTCGATAGTGAGGAGGGCCAAACCTGCGAGAGGGGGTAGTCTCGCAGCGCAAGCAGGTCAGCAGCCGTAAACATCGCACAAAACAGAGATGGAGAGGCAACTGGTCAGGGCTTCACCAGATCGTCCAATAATAATGGGTCAAAGTAGATATCAGGAGCTGGTTCACTGCCCTCTCACGGCAGTGAAAGGGGCCAGTGACATCCCCCCACGTCTGGAGGATAATTATCCCAGTCACCCTCTCACAGTGATTGAGGCAGATGACACCGACAATAAAGTCACAATAGTCCATCCTTTCATCTGGCGGATGACAAACAGCCCCCTCAGCACCTGCACACCATTTTGCCCAGTTCTCCTCCAGTTTGGGGTCGCACAAGAAGCCAGCAATTTGTAAGGTTATTAAAGACAATGATGATAATCCCACAGGCACAAGTTCTTCCCTGGGGCAAGAGTAGGGATAGCAGACAAAGAACCCAGTCCAAGTCCAAGGGTGGGTGGCCATCAAAGGCCAACACCCACCCATACCTGGGGGAAGAAGGGGGGGGGAGGAGAAGCCACCCGAGGCGACCAATAGAGCCCTGGTCAGCCTCCCGCCTCTCCTGCCCCAAATCTCCCCAAATCCCCAGTCTCAGTTCTGATGACAAAACAAACCCCGGATAATAGGGGTCAAGGCTCAAAAAAGAGCAGATGGTAATCCTGAGGGCAAGGCTGTCCGTATTCCCCCAGCCACTTACTGCAAGCTCTTTCCTCAACCGGATGATCCATGGCTGCCATTGCCTTCCGCCACCGCCGCCACCGCCGCCGTTGCCAGCTCGCAACCGGCACCCTGGGCTTCCCATGGCGCCTCCAGGACTCCCGAAAAACGTCCGGAGAGTGTCCCAGAGATCCCTGAGGGGCGAGGGGGATGAAGGGCACCTCCAAGCCGCCGCCGCCGCACAGCAATGCCGCCCGCTGCCGAACGCTCCGGCCTCCACTCCTCCCGGCGCTGACAAGCCGGAAACAGCTGTTTCAGCAGGCCGTTGCCCCATCTCCTGCGGCGGCTTCAAACAGCGAGTCCCGCCCTGCCCTGATATTCTGGAGGGCGAAAAAGCCCTCAGCAGGCAGGGCAGGCATTCCCCTCATTGGGACTGGAGCCGGAGGTAGTTAAAGCGGCTCCCGAAGACCCTTGACACCAGCGACCTCTCCATCTCCTCAGCGGAGCTCAGCTGACTGCCGCCATCTTGGGACACGCCGGAAGAAGAAGACTGCAGTAGCAGTAGCAGCCACACAGCACAGGAGTAATCAGTAGTACTGAATCAGTCACACCTTTCCCAAATTTCATTCCCTCAGGAGTCATAAATCTTGGGTTTTGGACACCTGTAATTTAGCTCATTTGAGCATCTTAATTCAAAAATTATTGTTCTATGATGCACTATTTCACCCAGATAATGATAATGATGTGTGTGTGTGTGTGTGTTGACCATAAGGGGAAGGAAGATGTTTAGAGAACAACTAAACGGTTGGCAATGTAACCTACAACACATGCAGAAACACAGTTGACAGACTGAACAATAAATATGATGTTGAATTCATTTCTGGGAAGGTAGAATCTTGTGACTGACTTTGGATGGTGATTTTGATCAATTCTAGTGTCATAGAATTGCTTTTTTTTTTTTTTTTTGCTTTAATTTATATGCTGCCCTTCTCCGGAGACTCAGGGTGGCTTACAATGCGTTTGTGAATTTGAACTTTATCTTTTCATTTAATTTGACTATAAAATATTTGAACTCCAATTTCATATACAAATGAGAACTTTTCATCTGAGCATTGATTACATTGACAAAAAATATTCTGTAGAAGTCCAGTTCTGGCTTCAACAATCTTAATTATAACCATGCTTACAAATTATTTGCAAACTATGCTTATCCCACTATTTCTTTTTAAGCATGTTTTTTCAGCAAGCTTATGCCAAAAGAAAAGATAACTCTCTAAATGCAATGGTATGCAATGTGTTATCAATTCCTTTAATATCCATTCTCTATGAGATTGTGATTACTACTGTCATTTAGTAAACAGAGTGTAGGAATGCAATTACCAAAGCTTTAATTGTATAAGCAAATTAGGGGGGTTAACTGCCTCCTCTCCCCACCAGCATCTTGTTTTCTCTCTTTAATCAATAAGCACCTGTTACTCTCCTTTCTCAGATTGAAGGATCTCTGAGCATCTCGCCCCATCCCCAAATGAACAGCAATCCCGTTCAAATTTGCAGCTGCCAGTTTAGGGTTAAGATATGAATCCAGGTAACAGAAACCAATGAGAGTACACCCAGTTGATGTTTGTGACATCATCCTACAGTCAGAGTACATAGAACAGCTGAGGTAGCTTTCAGCTTCAGTTCCAGTGCTATTATGATGGATGTTTACATCTCTTCATTGAGAGCCAATTATTTTGCTTTTGTGTGAGGCCCGAGAATCACTTGTGTTGCCTGCTTGCACAAAGCCTCATTCACAAAGCCTCAGTTGGATGCAGCTGAACAAATTGCTTTTTCTACTCCGGTGGTAAGAGAGTATTCTGCTTTTATCTTCCTTTTCAAAATGAAGGTGATGATGGATATCTGTCGATGCCTAAGAAAAAGGAGCTTGGTTTAGAATCCCGGAGCTCCTGCTGTTATGTTTAAATATGGCCTTTGTTATGAAAAGGTTAATTTTTAAAGAGAAAGAAAAACACGTGTGCCTGCCTGCTTGCCTGCCTGCTTGTCTGCCTGCCTGCCAGAGTGAAATTCCAACAGCGTGACAAGCCTATGCATATTTCTCTAAATATTTGGCACTCTCTGGATAAATCTGTAATTCTGATCAGTTATTTGCTGTAGTTTCCTGCCTGCTCCTTGTATGCACTTTAATCACTTCAGTGGAATGTATGGGAAAGCTTTTGTGCATAGAAGAATAATTTTACATCAAACTTTTTTTTTAAATGCTCTGGAGTAGTTTTGTATCAGTGATATGACTGTGATAGTCATGATTACCAAATACGTTGTTTGCCTTTCTTCTTTATGAGAAGGCATACTGGTTGTGTATTCCTTATGATCAACATGTAGAATATACACCCTGAGAGCAGTTGTGAAATGTCAGTTCTCTATATATGCGTATATGGAAATATGTTTGTATGTTTGTCTATATGTGGGATTAAAAATTGCTGTTTTATCATGCGCAAAGTAAAGCAGTGGTGATTATCTGTGGTTCTTTATGAGTCTACTTATATGTACCCACCTCATTTTGCAAGAGAGTAAACACATGTAAAGCTCCTGAACTGATGTGGGTTTAAGAGATTAGCTGTGACACTGACTCTGACAAATCAGATACAATAAATGTTTAATTGACTGAGGGAGTTGAAGGCTACTGTCTGAACAATCCGATAACCAGTTTAAATAATCAAATAGTAATAATAATAAGAACTAAACAGCAGACCAGAGTTAATTTAGAAGTTTGAATTTCTATTTATGTAGGAAAGGTTTGATTATATTGAATATTTACCACATAGTTACTGGGTGCATTTTTTAAACTAATCTGAGAAACTACAGTAAAAGTTGTTTTCTAATTACTGGAACTTTTATGAGGGAATGCCAATTATAATTCCATTACTACTAATCTATAGCTATGATTTGTATTGAAATATTAATGTTCTAGGAGTTACACTAATTTGAAACAAAAGATTGTTACTAATACAATCATTTGCAATCATGAGCTTGCTTGCTCATCTTTCCTTGTCTCAGAAGTGTTTTCACAGCAGCATAAATTATTTACCACATCTGATTTAACTGTTTTGGTACATACATGTCCAAAAAGATATGCTCAATGGAATCAACTGGTAAATATACAGTATGACAGATAAAAATCAGATTATAACAAGACTTCAGTTATTGAATTTTCCCTCTTCCATCATGAAAATAATAATCAGTGAGTGGCATCCTGGCTAATGGTTTAAGCAAGAACTATAAGCAAGTTTAAGCAAGAACCTAGAACTATGACATTGGATGATGAGTGACAATATAGATTGAATCTAAACTTTTGGAGTTGAGATCACATAACTATCTCATTACGTTTCCAGATCCCAGATTTTCAGTGTGAATGGATATTTCCCCACTTCACAGCCCAAACATCTGGAGATGGTAAGCAAAACCTATAATGCCATTTTTCATCAAACAGGCATGAAGATCTGAAGACAGTCTTTGTTCATCCAACCATGGGCCATATAACATCTCTGAATCTATCTTCTTATTTTTCTCTGCTGTTTATTTACAAGTACATATTTATTTATGGAATGTTATTTATTTATAACACTGTAATTAACATTTACTTCAAAAGCTTTGCTTAGTAGTTGTGCCTAATAGATTTTGGAAACACCAAGGAGAAAGCAAGACAATTCAGGAATAAAACAGGGCTCTTACAGAAGAGATTCTTGAGTCCAAGGGAGGATGGAGATTCAGAGTTACTCCACCTTAATTACGCTAGATAAAATTTGTGCAGGAGAATTGCTCTGGAAGGTGTTCAAGATTCTGTTCCATTACCTATTAGCAATGAAGATATTTCCCAAAGTTCAAGTGGTTCTTGTTTCCTAAATTTGAAGGGCTTGACATTAATTTTGAAAACCTTCTAAGTAATTCTATCACACAACTTATAGGGTAATTAAGGTGGAATCATTCTGAATCTCCCAAACTTCCTCCCTTTCTGGACTGTCTTCTGTAATAACCCCATTTCTTCCTTAATTATTTTTCTGCTTTTCTCTCTTTGTATAGTCTGTTAGGCAGTGCAATTTGTTTGTTTCTAGCTGTTTTGTGTTATAAATAATCCCAGTTTCTTTTAAAAGGAAGGTGATACATAATATAGCAACAACATCAGAAATATTCATTTTACAGTGAAAACATTACTTTTGCTTTATGACCCAAATGGCCATTAGGATGAAACTATTGAAGCAATAATTTAGGACCTGCTTGCTAGCTTCTCATGACTATGATGTTTATTGAGCAAGAAATAGAGCTACTCCGTTTAGAACCCTAAGGCTGTAATCCTATATCCACTTACTCAGTAGGATTTCCTTTTGAGTAGAAATGTATAGCATTGCAGTATTAGCCCACTGAAGGAGAAACAGATATATCCATACATCATTTCACTCCATCATAACCATAATGGCTCTCTGAGTCAGATTTCATATATTGGATTTATAGTCATGATCTTAAGCATTTTAAACAAAAAAAAAAAAAAAAGTAACTGCCAAATAGCACTCTACTTCTATTGCTAATATATTAGAGCAAAGGCAAGTCATGGTACTTTTTCTGCACCCCTCTCTATTTTGCATCAGGATGCTTTATAAGCTCATCAAAACTCACTTCCATCAGAAATGAGATTTATTGTTGTGGATGATGATATTGCTTTTAACTATGAGAAAACAGATAGTATGTGTTGCTGTTAGAGTGATAGAATACTACTAGATAGACTGAGCTCAAAACCATACTCCATGACACTTACTCAATGACTCAGGTTGTTGCTTATTCTAAAATCTCACAAGTTTGAGAATGAATTATGTATGATGCCTTAAGGGGAAAAATAAATAAGATAGAGGCTAATAATAAAATCATCAATAACAAGCCATATATCATTAGCAAGATTTCATGAGAAAATCTAGTTTCTCAAATCTAATATTTCAGAAGTTTGGAATAATCTCCAGATATTACTGAAGAACAACTATATGCAATTCCAGCCAGCATGGCCAATGATGAGGGATTTGGGGATTTATAATTTGACAATTGTTTGGTTCCCTATTTGCATAAAAGTATAATATATAGCCCATGTGATTAGAAATCACTGACAATTTTATTCTCAGTGATTTTTATAATTCCATTTTAACATTGCCCAGCTGGGCAGCCATTACTTGATTTAGGAATAAATTCTACTATGCTTACTTATGCTTCTGAATAAACCTGTATAAGATCAGGCTGCAAAACATGTTTATAGAAATTACACATCTTAAAAATATGTAATAATTTATGTAAAAGAAATGCCACATTATGATTGTATATTATTATTATTATTATTATTATTATTATTATTATTATTAATTATTATTAATTATTAATTATTATTATTTCCTATCTATCATAAAGGTTTTACAACAGATGCTATTTTCTATAATACTTAAAAGAAGTGTTTAAAAAAATATGTAATGTTAAATATCCTGAATAAATATTATATTTTTCAGAAGTTATATAAAGATATTACAAGTACATTTATTTTTATTTATATATGGAACAGATATAAATAGAAGTTGGTTATTGTGTTTTTTTGTATATGAAACATTTTCATAGTAAATGGGAATTAAAACAGCTCAGTCATGCTTTGGCATCTATTTTCATTCATGTTTCCCCTAAGTCTTTAAAAAGGCAAATTCTTATTGTAATTCTCTTATGTTGGGAGATATAATAGCAAAGTTGCATTGTGCTTTTTTTAGCATTTATGCATCTCTTCTTATATTTATGGGGTGATTTGGCCTTGGAGAGATCAGGATTTGTGGTAAATCCAGAAAGGATTAAATTCTAAAGGGTGAACAAATAACAAGAGCTAAGTATTATAAAGATTAGAGCATACTACAAACCAATGTTTAAGAGTACTGATACCATTAAAACTAAACTATATGCTTAGTCTTCATGACTGCTCGTTTGTATCCACATCCAATTCAGGTTTTCTGCATTTACTTTTAAAGCTCATAAGTAAGTTGGGAGCCAAATAATTTTAAGAAACATTCAACCAATTTTCTCATATTGGTTTCCAAATGTGGGTCTTAGCCTCATTTTATGTTTCTATAAAGAAGCAAGTCTTATTTATTATGGAGCTCCTACTCTGGAAACTTCCATCCCTAATGATAATTCTACCACCTTCATGGAATCATAGAAACAGAATTATAGAATCATGAGTTGAAAATGCCTATTTAGACCATCATGTTCCACCCTCTGCTGAATGAAATAATTCCAAGTAAAACATTGCTAACAAATGGCAGTTCAGTTTCTGTTTAAGCATATTCAATAAAGATGAGTGCATTACTTGATGATAATTAATCATCAAAGCACTCTTACTATTTTGCTTAATATTCAAGCAGAATATATTTTCTTCCACTTTGAGACAATTGCTCCAAATCCTGCATTCTTTCACAATCTGGGATGATTTTGATTTTATTCTGTGTGATAGCGTTGCAATATCCTACTTAGTCTTACATTCTCAAGGTTAAACTTATTGATGTCCCTCAGTTCTGAATGAAGTTAAAGACACTTCATTTTGTCAATCTTCTGTGAATCTGCTGTGAATTCTTCAGATGAAAAGAAATAAGTAATATATTGCCTCTTATTCCAATCCTTTCCTCACAAATGGCACAAATTGTGAGAGCATTTAGTAAGTTGAGGATTACAAAGTGGCCTTACTTATTCAAATGATATTCCTTTTTTTGATGGTCCATATTCTATTTTTCTTAGTGTTATTTATGTATGTAATTGGAATATTTAAATATTACTATGTACTAATACATATTGAAAAAAATAATAAAAATACCAGAAGATTTTTTTTGGGGGGGGGGGGGGGGTTCTTTGAAACAAAAAGTTTGGTCATAATAATGTGCTTAATGATACAACTGTATATCTTGAAAACCACAATGCTAACTTTTGTTTATCACAATGCAAATCTCATTCCTTCTTCTGTAGTGGGCATACATTTGCTTTTAGATTCTGAAATGTGATATGCAAACCTGTTTCATTATTAATTCTTTAAAAAGTATTCCATAAAGTCACCAGCTACTTAAAACTTTTATATTTGTAGCAACTCTTCATTGCATCTTTAGTCTCTTTTTCTCATACAAACACAAATATAACAAAGCACCAAGGCTCAACTGTCAAGGACCACGTTTCTTTACCTGTTCAATAGCGAGAAGGAAAAAAAAGGAGGCCTGCATTTATTTACATTTTTTTAAAAATTTGGCTAAATTTAATCCAACTATCATGAGACTTATGTGTTAGAGTACTTCTCTTTGGCTGATGGCCAAATATTCCTCTTGAAATGTAGACCCCATTCTATTCACCCCAAGCCAAGTCCCACACATCTTGGTGTCTTAACTTTAGGTGATAGGTTGGAAGAATTGGAGCTGAGGCAGTAACTCCTAGTTCAGACATTCTGAACTGTGAGCCCTCCACACTTCAACTCCCAGAATTCCAAGCCCATGCTGAATGTCTATGGAGATTCTCAATCATCCAGGTCATGATTGTCCCAAAGATGCTTTTCAAAAGGCAACCGGACATTTTGGGTTTTTTTTTTCCTTTTGAAAAGCACCTTTGGGTTTCTCCATACAACTTTCAAATTTTGGAAATTATAAATATAGCATATCTGAAGGGTGCAAGGTGGAGAAAAGCTGACTTATACCACACTTTTGCTAGTTTGATAATCTTTCTCTTTTCCCCTCTCGTCTCTCTTTCTCTGTCCCTTTCTATCTATCTGTTCCTCCACCCTCTCTCTTTCTGTGTATTATATTTGTGTGCTTGTATGTGTGCATCTGTCTATCTTCTCTTTGCTTTGCTGTGGATAGAGCGTATATGGCAGTTAACAGATTTAGAAATCTGTCTGTCTGTCTGTCTCTCTATCTTTCTCTCTTTCCTATCATCATATGTCAACATACCTGTATTCCCAAATGATTTTAACAGTGGAGGGATTTACCCACTCTTTGTTGTTAATTAAATTTGTTTGTCTCCTATCTCACTGCAAGGTGACTCTGGGCAGCTTACAATATCAAAATAAAACCATATATATGTGTGTGTGTGTGTGTGTGTGTGTGTGTGTGTGTGTGTGTGTGTGTGTGTTTCTTTTAGCCAGGTTTTTCTGCAGCCCTTGGTTACGTAAGAAAAACCTGGCTAAAACCTGGCTGCACCTTCTGCACCTTGAATTGCCTTCGGAAGGAAGCCAACAGCCGGTGCAGCTTGCGGAACAGCAGCATAAAATGGACCACTCTAAAGGCCCCCAAAGACTGTCCACGCTGCCAACCTCTGCACCATTTTAAGCTTGCAAATGCTCTTCAAGGATAGACCCATGTGGAGCCTATCAATTGTAGCTCCATTTTTGGTACTTTTCCTGTCTTGTC